GCGCCCCCGCCCCCGCTCGCCCCCTTCTTGATCCTCCGCCTTCCTTCTTCCTCCCTCCCTTTCCTTCTCTTCCTTTCCCCAGTAGCCTCTCCCTTCTCTTCCCCCACGCGCCGTTGCCCCTCCTCTTCCTTCCGAGCCTTACTCGGTCTAGAATTTCGTCCCCCGGCTCTCCTCCACCCCCGGGGTGCGTGCCCCTCCCCTTTCTTCGGCTCCCCTTCTTGGGGTGACTCAGAGTCGGCTCCGCGAGGCCGGGACCTCGACCAGGACCGGGAAGGGGCGTCTTAATAGCAGTCTCTAATCCCCTCAGCCGGGAGACAGCGCTCAGATGTCTGACTTGGCGAAGGGAAACGATTGACTCGTTGATCTCATTTATCCTGGGAGCGATCCTGAGCTGTGAAAGTTCTCGCACGCAGGGCACGCTTTTCCTTATTCCCGCTCCTCATCTCAAGTAAAATGCGTGTTAAATCTCCGCTTTAATTGAAAGTTTTACCCGAGCAGGGAGAGCTTGGGGGCTGACAGCTCCTATTACACTCTTCTGCGTATCCACACTGAACGATTTGGAGGAAGGGAGAGGGTGGATAAACCACTGAAGAGTTGTCTCCGTCGTATTCAGATTAACTTTGCTTGGGTAGGTGGAAATGATCTTTATTGTTCTAAAAATAACTATTGGAAAACAAATGCCAGGTTTCACGAGGTGGGGGTGACGAACAAGTGAGAATTTATGTCAGCACACATGGAAAAGTATCCTGTGTATTCTGAAACAGAACTCAAATGTGTTTCCAAAAAAACTAAGACATTTTAAGTAATTGAGATTTATACTTAAATCAGTCGTTCATTACAGTAACTTTTTATAATGGCAACTAACAATTTATTAAGCAATTATGTGCCAGGCACACACCAGGAACTCTACATACATTTTTTACAAGCTCTCAACATATGTTTACCTATATAGGTTTATTAAAGATGTTAATATCCCCCAAGAAACTTCAAACTGATTCTTTAAAACGTTCAGACTCAGCTCTGGGTAATTAAGAATCTGTTTGGACAGCATGTTGTTGGAGTGTAACCCTCAGGAACAAGTTAAATACGCCTCCTACTCAATGAGCTCTTTTGTTACAAAATAGGACCACGTGCGGCAGACCCACGGAAAAACAGATAAACATTATTGCTTTAATGTCCATCCTCCAGAGAGTTCAAAATGTTTTACAAATAACTTTTAGGCATTGAAAGCGTCAGTTCCTACTAAAATCAGCAGGGGGCTGGATTCTACAGAGAAGAGAAGAAGCAAATAAAGGGGGAAAGACACAAGAATAGAAGGGATGTAAACAAACACTGAGGACCTGGCAAAACAGAAAAACTGACTCAGTCCTCTGGACAAAACCCTAAACTTATCCTCATAAAGAGAGGCTGCTGACACTCCTCAATGTGTTAAACATAAAATTAACATGTGAGCCAGCAACTCCACTCCCTGGGTATATACCCAAGAGAAATGAAATCCTATGTCTGCACAAATACTCACTCACAGTAGCGTTGTTCATAAGAGCCAAAAAAATGGAATCAACCCTAATGTCCAACAACTGATGAATGGAGGGATAAAGAAAATATGTGTATCCATACAGCAGAATATTAATCTACTAACTGAATATTAATAGAAAAAAAATAAGTGCTGATGCATGCTACAACACAATGAACCTTGAAAACATGCTAAGTGAAAGAAGCCAGTCACAAAAGACCACATATATTATCCAATTCATGTGAAATGTCCAGAATAGGGAAATCAGTAGAGACAGAAAGTAGATTAGCTGTTGTCAGAGGCTGGATGGTGACGTGGGTGTAGAGTAAGGGTTTCCTTTGGGGATGATGAAAATAATTTAAACTTAGATTTTGGTAATGACTGCACAGCTCTAACTATACTGAAAATCATTAAATTGTACACTTTAAATGGGTGAATTTTTTTAGTATGTTAAGTACCTTAATTACAAAGTTAAGAAAAGGGGCAAGGGGCTGCTCCAGAAGTGCCTCTTTCCTTACGGCTTTCTACTCCCAGCCACAAAAACTCTGGTTCATTCACTGTGGCCAGTTCTTCCTTAGATATTTAGATATTTGGAACAAAATGAGTTGTTTAAAACAATTTTATAACATCACAAAAACATTGTTACTCTGTCTTTGCACACACACAGCCCAAAACAGTGTTAAAGAGCAGGTGAATATGAATCTTAATTCAATACTAAATAAGTCTACTGTGATCACCAAGAGTGAAAGGCCTAAGTAGTTTAGTTTTATTCAATTACATCTTGTCTGGTGCCTAGTAGAGATGATCAGTAACTGTGGAATGAATGAGAAGTATGGCCAAGTGAAGAGAAACATTATGGTACAATGGATAGATAGAAATTTAGGAGCTCCTAGTCACCTTCACTACTTAGTAGTCATACCAGCTTGGCAAAGGTAAATTTTCTCTAAATCTCAGGCTTGCCATCCATGGCACGGAGATGATGATTTTGCAACTGCAAGTTGGTTGAGGAGATTTAATAAAATTGTTTTTGTAAAGCACCTGCTAAAGTTATAATACTGATGATCAGGAGAAGGAGGAGGAAGTTGGGAGGGTAGGCTGAAAAGAGGGAGGAGGAGGAAGAGGAGATGAAGATTACATTCCATCAATATGGGGGAAGGGGGGGCAGGGGAGTCTATTCTCCTAAAATCACATAAGACAGAATTCAAGGAAAGTCATCACAAAAGCAGATACTACGGGGTTCCTAGGTCTCATTTTTGTTCATTCATTCATTCATTCTTTCCACAAATATTTGTTAAGTTTCTGTATGTATTATGTACCATACTAGGTGCTGGTGATATAGCGGTATACAAAACAGACAGTGTCTGTCCTCATGGTGCTTTTGTTCTCTGGAGGGAAAATGACACAGTAACTACCCCTCCCCCCCAAAAAAAACCCCCACACATAAATATATATCTAATTTAAAATGAAAGTGCCATACAGTTAGAGTAAAGAGTGTGTGAGACATTATAATTGAGGACCTGAAAAAAATCGGGAGTCGGGTCAGGAAGATTTAATGAGAAGTGTCATTTAATCAGTGACCAGAAGAATCAGTAGGAATTAACCATTAAATAGAGGGCTTTGAGGGGCGCCTGGGTGGCTCAGTTGGTTAGGCGACTGCCTTCGGCTCAGGTCATGATCCTGGAGTCCCAGGATCGAGTCCCGCATCGGGCTCCCTG